AAAAATGAACCACAAAAAGAAATAAAACCTCCTCATCAAACAATCAATACATTTAGGCTTTGGAATAAAGCATGCATCAGCTTTCTTATAATGAAGAATCGCTGCCATTCAGTGTACCACGCCCTGATCACTTTGCCACTAGTAGAAATAACATCTGAACTGCGCACGTGCTCTACTATCATCGATCCCATTCTTCTACATCTCCAATATAGTCGAGCTGTCTACAGTAATTTTGTCTTGTCCATCATACCCTCTCAGGAACAAACTGTAAACCGAGGGGATCACCCATAAACGCACCGCACTAAGGCGTCTCTTCTACCCAACACTGCTCCGTTCTACCTTCGTAACTAAACCATTCATTTTCACTAATGCACATGCATTTCTCACAGAACAAAAAGCATTAACATTCAGGTAACATTCACTTCTCACAACAACATTCGTTTTCTATACCTTTACTACTCATCAATGTCACGATAATCACACAACAAATGATATCTTCTGAAGTCTCAATCGAAAAAGATCCGATCTACACAAAGTGTCCTCAGATCCACGACCACTTGTTCTCCGATTGAATTTAAAGCCAGATCTATACCATTTTGGCGCTCTAAGAATGCGACAAAACAGAAATTACAAACTTCTTGAAGCACAGCATCAACCTTACTATGTTCCGTCCCAATGCATCTGCAATATGTTGAGCTATTTCATCACCGATTTCGTCGTCGTGGAGGTGAAATGTGGTGAGTGTCTGTAAGTGTGAGATAGATTGAGTGCTTCATCTCTAATAAAATGAGATCAATATTACCGTATTCGTTCGGAGCGCATCCGCAATATGTTGTGCTCCTTCAGCACCGATTTGGTTCCAAGTGAGGTCAAGTGTGGTGAGTGTCTGTAGGTGTGAGATAGACTGAGTGCTTCATCTCTAATAAAATGAGATCAATATTACCGTATTCGTCCGCAGCGCATCCGCAATGTGTTTTGCTCCTTCAACACCGATTTGGTTCCAAGTGAGGGCAAGTGTGGTGAGTGTCTGTAGGTGTGAGATAGACTGAGTGCTTCATCTCTAATAAAATGAGATCAATATTACCGTATTCGTTCGCAACGCATCCGCAACGTGTTTTGCTCCTTCATCACCGATTTGGTTCGAACTGAGATTATGTGTGGTGAGTGTCTGTAGGTGTGAGATAGACTGAGTGCTTCATCTTCTATAAAATAAGATCAACATTACCGCATTCGTTCGCAACGAATCCGCGATGTGTTGTGCTCCTTCAGCACCGATTTCGTTCTTATAGAGGTCAAGTGTAGTGAGTGTCTGTAGGTGTGAGATAGACTGAGTGCTTCATCTTTATTAAAATGAGATCAATATTACCGTATTCGTTCGGAGCGCATTCGCAAGGTGTTGTGCTCCTTCAGCACCGATTCGGTTACAACTGAGGTCAAGTGTGGTGAGTGTCTGTGGGTATGAGATAGACTGAGTGCTTCATCTTTATTAAAATGAGATCAATATTACCGTATTCGTTCGGAGCGCATTCGCAAGGTGTTGTGCTCCTTCAGCACCGATTCGGTTACAACTGAGGTCAAGTGTGGTGAGTGTCTGTGGGTATGAGATAGACTGAGTGCTTCATCTTCTATGAAATAAGATCAATATTACCGTATTCGTTCGGAGCGCATTCGCAAGGTGTTGTGCTCCTTCAGCACCGATTTTGTTGTAGTAGAGGTTAAGTGTGGTGAGTGTCTGGATTGAAGTAGTATGTAATGAAAAGCGGAAGTAGTAAAGAAAACCTTTGATGGCACTTCGGATGGTATGTATGTGATTTGAAATAGTTATGTGTGGGGTAGATTTTGAAGGAGGAGTTGGGTGTAGATGTGAATTCTTCGGGTGGATAATCATGCTAGTTGTTGTTTCGGAAAGAAGTGCTGTGTCGAGAATCTAGACAGGAGATTACTGTGATAGGATGGAATCGGAAAGAGTAGGACATGAGTTTCAATATATATAGGTGGTAACGAGATTTCTCTTTGGAAGAGGCGCTCTTGGGATATCGAAGTCGTACTCTTCTGAAATGTAGGAGCGGGACTTGATGTACCCGTGTTGAGAATGAATGTTGGCATATGTGAAGCAACTGTACAGTGTTGTTTGCTTCAGTAGATAAGTTCCCTCAAAAGTTGTAATTGATGCAATTTTTGTGTCGAGTAGTGCAACGCAGAAACGGTAGCGCATAAGTAAGCGTTTTGCTCGTTCATGGTCGCGTATCGCCCGAATGCATCCTCAATGTACATAGAACAAAAGGGAGAGAGTGAAGGAATGCTTGATTTCATATGACTTCTGACTGTGCTTGTCTCCTCCTAGCAAACTGTTTGTGAATTATGAAATTAGTTTGGGTTGTCCTATGAGGGAATCTACGACATCAAATACCATTAAGCTTATGTATAGCACAGTCGACAAGAATGTTAGGATACCAAATAAACTTACTTGATATCGCTGGTAAGTACTCAGGATCTGATTGAGCCGTCGACAAATATTTTGCATTGAACAAAATAGCGTCCGGTCATTTTGATGATCCATAATTCGATAAACTAGTTCGACAGGTAATGTAGGAAATGTGTGCATGTTGTATTTCAATCGTGCAGCAGACCGTACCGTAGAGACTAGAAGCGATGAAAAATATTTGGTTTTTGTTCGTTATGAGTAGTAATTCATGGTGATGATGTAGTTATATGTGTTTTTGACGAAAACAAATGACGTGTAATAATTTCAACAGTTACGCATCGCTGGCGTACGCAGATAGATGGCATTAGAGTACGTATCCTCAATGAATTCTGTTGACATTTACAATAGTAAATTTAAAAATCGAAAACAGAACAGATTTTATGGCTTTGGCTCTTTTGGAAACCGATTCTAGTTTCATGAAAAGAAATTAACATTTCTAAATTAATTTTTTTAACTAAAAATTATAATGGAATATGAAAAACTCTGCAGCTTAGATTAGAGATCCATTTTGATTATGTATGTTTTGTCTTCGAGAACACTAAATGTTACGCAGTCAGTTTTCACTGATCGTTTTGCAACATTTGACGCTTTTTAGTTAAAAAGAACAGATGATTTTAATAAGTTCGACGATATAGTTTGCTGATAGAGCTTCATGCAGCATTCCTCACGTCAGTGTGTTTGTTTGATTTTTCCAAATCTTATTCGATGATAGATAAAACAAAAACAAAAATGATCGTTTCTCAACCTGAAAAAACAGTCACATGATCTTTGATTTCTTTTTAAAGCCAAAAACTGTAAAATTGAGCTACGGTTTACTGCAGAGGTGACGCTAACTAGAACATCTAAAGTTAAGTTAAATTGCTATCCCTAAGCTGCGTATCTGGTTTTTGTGTTGAAGGGTGAGTTAGAATATTCACCATCTTTCATATAAATAGAATGACAGCTCCATCATCGAGGTGCTCTAACAATCTGTCGTGAATTCGTTTGATGAATTAATCATCCATAGTATTGTAAATAAATAAGAAAACGTGGAAAACATTCGAAAGAGCAAATGTTATCAATTCTCTTGCGAAACAAGACATTTAGCTTATTGGAAAAGTTAAGCCGTTTTTCAATATCCCTAAACAGACGGTTTTAACGATAATTATAAACTCTACAAGAACGCTGTAGTATCTTACTTTAAAACATCCATAGTCCTGCTATCAGCTAACTTCCGATCAGTTTCTTACAATATAATAACTGTGATATACAAATGCGAGCAGTTACGACGAAGGGCAAAAATAGTACCTGATGTATTATTTAGCTGTGGAGGATAGTATTTTATGTAAAGCGTGCTATGTTATATAGTTTTCATAATATTTTACTCTATGTTTTCTGCAATAAATTATGAAACGAATGGAACTACATTGTTCTAGTTCTTCAGCATCGGTTTTCCTTTGCTGAAATACAGATTGCTCATGTGATTTGCCTGAAAATCTATTTTATTCCTTAATTGATGCGCATTCATAGTCCCTCTTACTAAAATTATTTTCAACGATTTGATTTCACTGGTAACATTAACCCCTTAAGAACAGGATTATTTTTAATAGAGCAAGCAAGATTTTACACATTCTGGTGGATGCAAGAGACAATGTGTGCGAAGATAAATAAAAAATAGACGATAAATGATAGCACTGGACTATGACATAGTGAAAAATTAGAAGTGATGAATATAACTACAAAAAGAAAAAAGATGAAAGAGGTCACTATACGAATGATAGTATAATACATTAACGATATATGTAGCGGCATAAATCATTAAAATATCGTAAATAGTATACGCAAATAAATTATGAGTTGATTTCAACCCAGACGTATACATACGTCATCCGTTCTCAGGGGGTTAAAAATAGATAACACGGGATGAATCCTATATACATCTTATAAATGAAATCTCATGAATATTGGATATCACGAAATATCAGGTGTTATTACCCGTAGTTTCTCAATCACATATCGTGTATATACGTTACCCTTTGATTTTGGAAAGCTTTGCTTTATTGACAATATACTTACAAATACCGTGTTCAATTACGTTATTGAGCTATATGTAGCTAACTGGACGTCATTTGAATATGTTCTTTTTTCTTAGAATAGCTAAAGCTTTTCCATTGGTAAAGAACCTTTTGTATTTGGAATACTACTCCGCAGTCAAATAATGTGGAGAAATCATCTGGTAGTAATTCAGTCGAATGAAATCGTTCAATAGCATCATCTTACCTCACTTGACATTGAAACAACTGATATTACTTATATCTGTTGGCTTGAAAGATTATAATGCATATTTTCCTTTATTGTAAATTAGTTTTCATTAAATGTATTTGTCAATCTGAGTCAAAAATAAACTTAATTGTTTCGTTTGCTACTACCAACAAGTAGCGCTCACCTGTTGGATTCGCTGACCCTGTTCTGAAAGAATTACAAGACTCAAATAAAAACTCTAACGTATATCTCACTCTAATCCGCTTAGAATTAAAGCCATTTTTATGCACATTCTTTTCTTTTAATCCTTTTCTGCTTTATTCATGTCAAACTGCTTTCAATTCATTTGTTCAAAGACGTGAGCAAAAGGAACACTATTTCTAAAGATTTACTAATCGACTCTCTTCCCACTATTTACAATCAAAAATCAATTTACTTACACTTATTTTATCTCTTCTAAGCCACCCAAACAAGCGCCTGGTCGCTCGTCAATCTGCCCCCAGTCAGCCACTCGCGACTAGCCGTTACATGCCCAACTTTCATTCTTTTATCTAGCTTAAAATCCCCTTGAAATTCAATCAAACCATTTCCTTTCATTCCCTGTTAAAGAATCACCAATGTTGTGCCATTGTGACTGTCCAAAACAACATTTGTTAGAGGAAGTATTATTTCGAGTGGTTAGCAGCAGATATTGTTTGTGTAATATAGCTGTTTATATAATTGTAATGTTATCAATATACTGATAAGTATGAGTATCCAGCCGGCGGACGCTAATCAGCTATTTGGTTTTATTCTACATATTGCTGCTTCAAGCACTATCGCCCACAAAAAATCTTCCTTGCAAAAAATCGTACTTTTTCTGAAAAAACAGAACAGAATTTTTCTACAGAAAAACTAACACCAGATTCGATATCTTCGATGCTGATTACCCTTCGGTCGAGTCTTACTCAACAACCAAAAAATTTTTCTTTGTCTAATTAGTAATTAACTAATTAGCTGTTTGAAGTCTCAAAAAACTGATATCGGATTCGAGATCCTCGACCTCGGTTACCTCATCAGTGGTCAATCTTTGATGATTATAGATAAATTTCCTTGATTTATAATATGCTGCAATCTGATTGGATTATGCAAACAAACAAACTTTATGCATTTTCACGACTGTATTTATGTCGCTATAACCCTTTCTTCAGAACAGGGAATAACATTGAATATTTCTTTTGTAAAAATTTCATGCATCACCATTATCAGCAAATGAAATGGAAGAAGAAGATGGTAGAATAAGTATTGACTCAAATGATGATAATCGTAACTTATTATTAATTGAACATGATAATGAAAAAAGAAATCGAACAACAAGATTGTTTCATGTCACAAGATTTTGTCGACTTAAATCCATCGCGAAAAAAGTTAGAAGAAATATCTTGAGAAGTGAAATAAAAAACGGTGTTGTACAAGTTTGGTTTCAAAATGCTCGAGCAAAAGAAAAGAAAAATCCTCACTTTTTCAAATCAGATCTTCCAGATGAATATCAACCAACGAATGAACAATGTAAATTATGTCAATGCAAATATACTTTACAAAATCCTCAAAGAGTTTGTTTCGTTGTCTTTCCTTTTCTTTTTCATTTCTTGTTTCTTTTCAAAGGATCATTTATTTACTACAAAACATATTGAAAATATTCGTTGTATTCTATCCAAACAGATCTCATCTAATGTTGCAACGATAAAAGATGATCAAAATTATAAACAGAACAGTATCAATGTGAAATTAGATTTAGATAATTTACCAACATCAGTATCAGACAAATCAACTTATGTCTTGTTTAAGTTTGATGCGTCTCATGTCACTTGATAAGTTCATTCTCTTCTCTTCTTCATTTCTGTTTTCTTTATTTTCAAAAGGAATGGATCCATATAATGATGGATTGATGCATCCAAATATTCATGGAACACCATTGTTTATGTTACAATTACCATCTGATGCTTGGAATAAGATTGTTTCATTAAGTAAATCAGATGCTCATCTAACACGTGCTCAATATACACAAGATGGAAAAACTCTTCAACAATTACTTGATAATGATCATCAGAATGTCGATTATCAAACAATTGATGTTGGTTATTCTTATAAAAGATGTAATCTTGTTTGTAAGTTTATTAGATTTAATTGTTGAATAAAGATAACTGATATTTATCTTTGTTTTTATTAAATTTTTTCACGAAATTTCTCGTTCAATGACTATTGTGAAAGATAAAATAGACTGAAAAGAACTATTTTTATTTTCACATCTAAAGCAAAGTAATCGTAGATTACCACTCACAAACCATACTAATTTCAATGAATCACTGTAAAATAGCGACATTTTTTGCAATTGTTGATGTGTTGGTTTGAATAGATCCACTAATCAATATTAAAATTAACAATTGATTGATCCTTTTATTCTATCACTGATAATCGGTCGAGTTTATTGAATAAAAAAGAAAGTTCGAATACAAAATAAACAACTATTTACACAACTGATCCTACAGGCTGTCGAGAATGATTTTCCGTCGAGTTATTATAGATTTTTTCAAAGCGTTCTAAATATTTGTTGATATCATTTATCGATAGAGTTTGTTGATAGTCCGGTTTGATATAGACTTTTTCCGCTGTGTACAACGGCGGCGGTGGAATGTGAATCTGCTCGAGAAGGTTTCGTTGACTGTTGTTCGCAATTGTCGGATAGATACGCTGTTCACGATTGATAACACGTGGTAATGATGTAGCTGTTGTTATCTAGGGAAAGAGCATCGATCGGATTGATCTGATTCTTGAGATTTTAAAACTTACATATTCGTTGTCAATCAATCGACTATCGGGTGTAGTCGGGGAAATATTTGTTAAAGATTTTTTCGTTCTCGATCGCCGATGGCAACAGTTTAATAAAAGTATGAGAATAATCAAGAGAATTATCATCAAAACGATCCCGGTGCTGATTAGAATGAATGTAGTTGACACTACCATCGACACTTCTTGTCGAAGCATGGAATTATTCGATTTGATATAGAAGACAAATCGTTCTCGCGTCGTTAAACGTTTCGGTTGACCGAAGTCAGTGACGATAACAGTGAAATTGAAGAATAATTGATCCGATTTCTTTCGAAATATCCGACCTGTGTAACGTTCAATTTCCAATGAGTCTGTGGAATCGATTTCGTATTCAACCGATGGTGGAAACCTTTCAATTTGATCGTCCGAAGAAAAATCAGGATCGTACGCTTTGATTTGATACAGAAAGTCAGACGAAACATTCTCCAACGATTGTCTCGTTAAATTTTCTAGCAATCGTGGTGATTGTTGATTGATACCGAATAGAATACGTATGAATATGACGCAACTTAATGACGGTGTCTGCGAGTTAATCGCTTGGACATGAAAGTCGTAGTAATAAGACGAAAATAATGATGGTGAAACAATCGTTATTGAACCATTGCTTTCATCAATTGAAATTTCATATGATTTTGATGAGATGTATTTCATCGAAGGTGGAAGAATCGGGAGAGTAAATTGCGAGAGATTCGTGCTGGTTAGAACATAGAATGATTGAGAAAAGTATGGATAAACGTTTGAGACCGAATAGGGGTTGTAAATATGTACACGAAGGTCAATGGAACATGGATTGATCTGAAGAAAAAGACGAGAATGATGAAGAGTTCTATAAATGTGACAAGTGTCTTACTTGATCTGTTTGATTCGAATCGATTTTGTAGAGTGTGACCTCGTAATTTTGTTGTTTATTGACTCTTAAATATTTCTTAATGATTAAATTGAAATTGCTATCGATTTCGAACGTTTCTGTTGGATCATTGACGCTGATTTGTTTGAGCGAATCGTCGAAACATGTGTGGAATCGATTGTGAATAGGAAATCTTTCATCCAAAGAAATATCTTCATGAATTTGGACAAATAACATATTCGAATTCGTTAATAGTTTATCTTTATCGAAGTACAATGTCCAAGAATAGTTTTGATTTGAAATTATCGACGGATTTGCTCGATCGGATACATGGAAGTGCACATTCAACGAAATATTTTCGTTCTTTATCATTGAATTCGATAAAATACGAATTAATACGATGGAACTGAGATTCAAATATAAATCCATTGTCTGATCATTCAGATAAATCAAATCTTCGAATGTTGAATTCATCTGCACCAAACAATTTTCACACAAATTCTCATTCTGCTTATCAATAACCATCAATTTTCCAATTGGAGTGCGAAGATTGTTCACTTGAATCCAGTCATTTTGCGAAACATTCGAAACGAAGTTAATCTCGTATAAAAACATGTATTTCACTTCAATGACACATTGACTCGATAACGGGATCGGTTTGCCATGATCGCTAACATTAATAACTAACTTCGCTCGTTCACGACGAGTCCATTGTGTATAATCAAACTGGATTTCGCCACTCGTACGATCGAGGTGAAAACCTGCAGGTGCATTGTAAAATTCATACACTAATCGACCATTATCGCCTTCATCAGGATCGGTCACATTCAGGAAGAATTTCGACATGGATTTGGTGTTATTGATGTAGAAAGTCGTTTCGGATAGATCACATTTTGGTGCATTATCATTGATATCTTTGATAATGACGATAATATCAAGTGACACCTCTTTTTCATGTTCGCTCTTCGCTACCAGCCGGAGTAGATAAAGACTTTGTTCTTCTCGATCAAATGCTCGTAATGGTTTTAATGAGAAATTAGTTTGATCAAGTTCGAATAAGCCATTTGGTTTCTTCCAGTTTTGAAGGTACAATGAGTAGGTGATCAAATCGCCATCAGCATCGCTCGCTCGAGGAAGTGAATAAGATTTCGTCGACCAACGTGAGTCGTTTTCGTCGATTTCGATCACTGTTCGATTGACAGGAAATCTCAGAGGGTTATCGTTGATATTTTTCAAGTGAATTGGAAGAATGTACACGTAAATTGTATCTTGATTCGAAACAGCAATACTTATGGAAATAATACAGTGACTGGCGTTGTTTGATGTGCAAAGTTGTTCGAAATCCAGACGTTTTTTCACATTTAATGAATGGCGAGTATGGTCAATAGAGAAAAGATCGAATTCAGATGAGACAGGTGTAACCAAATCATATTCTAATGATTGATCTAAATTCGGAATTTTATCAGATAGAAATGTGACAACTGAGCCGATCGGTAATTCTTCGTCGACGGTGATTTCGTTGAGTTGTTTAATCGTTTGTGGATAAACAAATGGAATGAGAAGAAGAAGAAAGCTGACTAATAACATCGTTTATCTAGAAAGAAGAAGTTGATTTGAATAAATTACTGATCGTCGATGGAGTAATGTGAGAGCTGTGTATGAATGAAAAGTTCTCAGTGCACTTTTCTTCAACACGTTTGAATTTTATCAGAGATAGAGATTAACCTTCACTGTTGAACTTACCGTGAGAGGAGATGATTTTTATATGCAGAGACTTACTTGATTGCAGATAAGCTTAAACAATTTCAAGGAAAAAGAAAAACTCCGTAACAGAATGATTGTAATTGGCTTCATAGTGTGCGTGTCACAGTGGAACAATTCAATCTGAATTCTCTACATATGTCTTCTTCCTTCTAATTACGATTTATTCGATTGGAAGAATCGATATTGATCAATGAAGGGAGAAGAGAAAGAAGCAATACACTTGAGGAATTTTATCGTCTCTTCTCTTCTATTGTGAACAGACAAGAAGAGAAAATCGAAAGCTGCGATAAATAAAGTCTATTATTTCAACATTGGGCACGTGTTTGTCATCTTTCGTCACTTTATCGTCTTATCCGGTCTATGTCTACTCTTCACACATATGAATATTCATTCATATTTTCGTTTGGGATTTTGACAGCTTTTCCTCAATGTATTGTTCGACAATGTGAACAAGTGTGGTTAAGCCTTATCGGCGTCGATACTAAATTAAAAAAAAGTCGCGCACGCGGTACGGAAGTAACTTCTTTCGTTTGCTAAATCTCTATCAAATACGTTATTCATCATCATCTCTATGCGAATCTTCGAGATGAAAGGAAAAGGAGGAGTGAAGGAGTTAGTGAATTATTGACAACAAGCATCCGTAGTTGCGGTCAATAGACATGGATTAAGACAATTATGGATCTGTGAAGTCAGAATCGAAGAAAAGAAAAGAAAAGAAGGCATTTCGTTCTAATTAAAAATTTGACAAAGAGAAAAGTGAAACCTTAATTGTCTAAGAAAATATTGATAGTTCAATTTAATTACAAGAAAATAAACAGACACTTGTTGGTCAATCAGTTGAGTGGTGTTATAACATGAAAGAAACCTGACTCCATTCGTTTCGTCTGTCAGGAACCACATCCACAGAAAGACAAATAGAGCCACACGATGCTTGTTGATTTAATGTGATAGTACGTGACATATGATGGGTGCGAATACCTCAGACGGTAGACTGAAAAGAAAAGAAGAGAAACAAAACATCGACTTTTCAATGTTTAACAAAAAAACATGACGATTGAATATGAAAAGACAAACTATCGACGTTTTTACCTTTTCATTTAACTTAAATGAGACTCGTTTATACTTATGTACATTACTTACACAATCAGTCTGTCTGTGCTCAACAGGGCGTCATCATTCCATGTCGAACAATACGTATGTATATATATATACATAGACTTGCTCGCAGCACATAATGATGAAGGTTGTCCCGCCAATATATACATCTATATACACATTTTTCAAGTATTGATGCCGAGAAAAAGGCCCGCCTGTATTATCGCGATAATGGATAATTCGAAAGACTTGAAAATGCATACATGCCGGCAAGTGAATGAGCGACTCAATCATGCGCCGCAAATTTGTTCTCTCTCTCCCCCCTTCTTTTCTACATTTGATCTTGAAAATTATAGACTTGTCTTCTCCATCTCTCTCTCTCTCCTTTCTTCTCTGGTTGTTGTATCAATAAACTCTTAATCGACCAATCCGTTCAAGAGCGAATCAATACCTGACTCAAAAAGAAAAAGAAAAGAAATAAAGGACATTGTTGTCCGATAGAAATATAACTTGACAAATATGTTAACCAGATGAATGAACAGTCGAGTAATTACATCGATCGGACGTTTTCTGTACATAGGACGTTCCCTGATGACAACTTCACAGGAACAATGCCACTTCTTCATTATTATTATTAATCGAATCATAATCCATGGAGATTGATATTGACACGCATGGTGTTCGATCGAAACTTGCCTGTCCTGTGTTGCGATTGATCTGTTTCTTTTACCTAATGACTTCGTTTATTGATGAGTAGGTGTAGAGATGTTTTATGATGGCATTAGAAATGAAGTGAGTCTTATTAAAAGTAGAGAAGGAAACAAGTGGGTGTGATGAAATGATACAGATGTATGTTTTTAGTGTTCAGTCGAATGATATCTGCCCGGAGCGATCATTGATTTAAAGAAGAAGAAGAAGAGAGCTAAGTCAGCACGTCATAATACGAAAAAGACAGAGACTATAATTACCGATATTGCAAATGAACACACGCGATCATTCTTTTGATGACAAATATTTCAAATGACTTTCGATATGCTTTCGACGGATGAAATCGGACACGAAACCGAGTTCATCAATTATGTGTTTTTCTCCAAGTTACGTCATAAAAGCTTTTGTTACCGTTTTCCTCCATTCCTATCATTAATTTTGTTACTGGATTAATTATAGAACAAAAAAGAAGACTATTGTTCAGTGGAGAAATATGGCAATTTCGATCGCCATCATTCAGTTTCTTTAGTCATACATGTAGTTTTATTGTTTATGGGCTGATGCACACTTTTTAAGTGGTCACTATACTCCTAAATGAACTTCGTTGCATCACAACATGTCGAGTGCCATCTTGATATCATACGAGTATGAAATAAAACAGCAACAACTCATAGGAAGACATCTCTTCGTCGAATCTTATTTGAAAGTTTTCAAGGAAAGGTCAACGACTAGATTTTCATGCTCATAACGATATAATCATCGAGAAAAAGAGATGGTTTCAGTTGAAATTCAATCTCGAATGACGTGCAGAATCGTTGATGGTAAATGTGCGTATTTGTTTTTACACAACGGGCGGTGAATTTAATGAAAAAGAAAAAAAAACACGTGAAGAAAAAAATTTCAAGCAAAAAACGAGCGCATCATCATCATCACTCTTATTGTTTATATTCGTAGTGGTTCGTAGTGTTAACAGAATAGGATTGGTGGTGTTTGATTTGTTGTTAGTAGTCGATATCACTTTTGTATTCGCGTTTTTGATAATTAGTTGATAGAGAGGGAATGAGTCAAATTTAATTGGCTGAGCGGAGTGCTCGGCGAATTCCAAGATAGCCATATACGCAGAGAATAGTCAGAAGAAGAGCGTGACTAAAGAACATGTGTACATCACCAGCACCGCTTAAGTTGTTTGCTTGTCTGATGGCATCTCGCCATTGCTCTACGAAACGGAAAGCAATAGACTAGTTTTTGAGAAGTGGAAATACCCAAGTAGCTTACTCGTGTACACGGCCAGTGCAATAGTTGTAGCGAAAAGACCCCAAATAGCAGCGATAATCAAGCAGCAAGCACACGCTGCAAGGCCACCTACTGGACCGAGTGCAGCGCCTATTGGATTGACCATGATTGAGTGTTTAGTTTACACGCACACACTCTCTAGTCTAGAACAAATCACAGATAGAATAAAAGGGTCAGGACTATCTCGTTATTTTCTTTTTTTACACAATCAAACGGATGGACATCCACACGTTTAGATAGACAAAAACGAAAAAGGGTAGAAGAGAGAGGAGAAGAAGAAAAAGAAAATGCACTAAAAAATAAGTTTGTTTTCATGCAAGTTAACTATCGTTACGGGGAGAATGCTCCTACTCTCTCTCTCTCTCTCTCGCTTTTGCACATAGAAGTAGGCAATGCAGGTTTCTTTCTCATCATAACGATACATTTTTTTTTCGTTTTTTGTCAGGCATATCTATTGACTCAAGGTAATTTTTCATAGGACGTTATACTTTTGTGGATGCTTTCGAGAAAAACTAAAGAAGAGACAGGTTTTTTTTTCGCTGATGTGTCTATTCAAGCGTGTACACACATAACTGCAACCCCAGCAAGAAAAAACGACGGCAAGCAGCAATCGAATATGTACAATATTGAGACAAATTTTGAAGAAAGAAGAGAATATTGTGCGGAAACCATGCATGACAAAGTAAAACCTATGACGAATGTTGGATGGTGTAGAGAGCAAAACGAGAGAAAGAAAAGCGAAATACACTCAAGATAAAGAAAAGATTTGCACTGAATATATATGTAAACTTTTTAATCTAATTGAATAGAAATGAGCTCTTCAAGGTCATTTTTAATGATGATTCGAGAGGAAGTGATATCTACTCTTCCTCGTCGATCAGAGCGAAAGTTTTCATACACAATGAATGGCGTCCGAAATGATTTATTTGAATATTACTGGTGATGTATAGGGACAGGAAAAAAAAACAAAAATCACTTAAATAGAAAAGATGGAAATACGAGGAAAAAAGTGAGAAAAAGAAAACATTGAATATCGCCACGTTTCTTGCAGGATAACACATGAATTTGAAAAAAAGATGGATTTTAGTTTGTCGTCGTCGTCATCGTCGCCGTCGTTGTTGTTATATTTTTTTTGCTGCTTTTATAAAGGGGAAAAGGTTTCAATGATGTATATCGCGCGCGTTCCGTGGTTTCTGTTAATCATGAAAAGATAAAGAGAAAAAAAACGGACAAGAAGGAAAAATTCGTTGTGTTGCAAATGAAAGAAGTATGAACAAAAAAAAAGAAGTAAAGCCATTTTGTTGTGTTTTTTATATTAGAGAAATAATACCATTGATAGGAGAAAGACCAAGTCGTCGGTGATTGATCTATGAGCGGCGCATGAACGTGAACAAGAACGAGCATACGAGCACTAATAGAAGAAGCATATGTGGAGCAAGAAGTTCTTCAGCACCACTGTTAGTACGGTTCTTGTAAGCACGATACCATCGACCTTGAATAAATTAAAAGTTAGCTCTGACTGAAACAAAGGCATCAGCATTTTCTACACTGATACTTACTGATAAAGACAGTCAATGGAATAGCCGTAATGAATAAGCCCCAAACTCCGATGGTGTTAAGACAGCATAAACATCCAGTTAAACCACCAATAGGTCCGAGAATGGCTGCAAGAAGACCAGCGCCGCCAGGTGCACGTCCAGCTGGTACTACTGGTCGAACAGCTGGTCGGACGGCATATCGACTTGCTGGTCGGGCATATGCCGATCGATAGACTCCTCGTGATGCTGCAACATTAGGCACATATGCTATAGGAAACAAATAAGTCAAAGAAGGGTTCGATTAGAACGAATGCAAAATATTTTTCTTAATACGCACGTGCTCTTGATCCTGAAAATCCGCCTGTCCGTTGAAACATAGCCGCAGATTAGCAGGCGGTCTATCACTTTTCTACAAAAGGACAAAAGTTCATATAAATAGAATAGCTAAAGAACTCAATGATTAAACTGATCGTCAATAACAAACAACAAACTGGACTCAAGAAACAAGAGAGAAAGAGAAAAAAAAAGAAAAAAAGAGAAATACAAAAAACCTTTTCTCTATCGTAATATGTTACTGTAAGGATGTTTGAATTTTTTTTACTGTCTCTTTTTCCTTCATCGTCTTCCGAAACCTCTCTCTCTCATTACTACTCAATTGACTACAAGCAATCGCTCTCTACCTATCATATACATCATTGGAAAAAATTACTTCAAGAGAGAAAAAGAAACGGCGACGACGACTTATACAATACCTCTCTTCACTTAAAAAAACGAAAAAAAAGACAAGAAGAGGACGCGTCACACGTCAGCAAGCAGCACGATAGTAATGATTTCTGTTGACTGTAATGATACATATACAAATAAAACCATGACTTGGACGTTTTCATATATATCAGGAGCAACGAAACAACATAGATGAGTAAAAAAAAGAAGTGTGCAGGCGTTGCATGCCCTACTATCTTCCTGTGTGCAACAAATTTGTGCAAGGTTAGTTAAGAAAAAAAGAGATATATGGAGAAGAAGGATGACGCGTGATAGCGTGGGCATACACATTACTGCTGTAACGCATGATCGACTTTTGTATTCGAAGTAAATGTTTGTGTTTATACGAATATGTACATAGGAAATAATTAAACAAAATGTTTAATTTCGATAAAAATTCTTTTATTTCAAAGAAAGAAGAGGCAATGAAAAGGGAAACTTGTTATATACGTATGATGTGTATATGTGTTTATTGTTTGAATCTAGTTGCTTAATTGTGGCTGCTTCTGAGCTTTGATGGGTTTACCGGTCGTATTTTTGTTGGTATTACTACGACGTGTTGTGGTTGTTGCTGGTCGACGGGTAGTAACCGTTTTTCGACGAGTTGTAACCGTGCGTTTTGTTACTGCTCGAGTTGCTTGTCGAACTTGTTGATTGGGATTTTGATTTTGATTTTGATTTTGGTTAGGTCTAACATTTGCATTGTTAGCAGTGTTGCTGTTGTTTCGTAAATTAGGGCCGATGTTAGCTGGGCCACTACCAGGAATGACACCACCAAAGTTAGCAGTATTTCCTAATCGATGAGAAGAATATTCAATAGTAATCCTAAAGAAAAGTTCTTCATTACCGTTGGCATTATTTGGACGTGCAGCATTAGTATTATTTGGGCGTGCACCGTTCGCTGCATTTGAACCTAACGAAAAAGAAGAATTGAGATTCATATTATATCGATGGCAACGGTTAATAGTAATTTACCTGCACCACCGTTGTTTGTGCCAGCACCGGCATTCGATGGAACTGCTAAAACATATAAACACAAGAATTGAAAGAGTGCTAAAGAAAGTTGTTCACTCACGAGTTGTTGAACCAACATTTCCTATTTCATGTAAAATAAATCAAAACACGATAGAAACTTTTTTCAAAAGAAAGGTATCCTGTCTGACTAACCTGGGTTATTTGTATTTCCAGTTGGTACATTTCCACCATTGACACTTGCTATACACAACATTACAGCTAATTATTTCCGAATAACGAAAATCATGATCACTACTTACGAGTTGTTGTTATTAAATTACCACCTGCATCTAACAAAAATGAACAGAAGAATGATCGATATGAATCGACATCAAGAGACACTTACTATTGGTATTATTCAAAGGTGAATTAACAAGATTGGGACAGCATGCATAGCAAGAAAAGACTGAGAGTGCGTCAGCTACTCGTTCAGCCATAGAATCGTATACTTGACACATAGATGATGATGATGCAGGCATGCATCGTGGACATATTTGTTTCAAGCATATAACCATTTCGGAATTACATTGTTGACGTGTAAACAGGCACGAACTGAAACACATGCGATGAAGGCAAACACATTCTTTATACTGTTGTGAGTAGCATCGAAGTGCGGCGAATGAACGGCCATGTCGTTCCCAGAAGGCGCATGTTCCACTAGCACATGAATTTTTGCTTCGAACCGAACGCAAATATGCGTACGCAGATTGAGGTTTTCGTGCTTTACTTGTTTGTGCTGGAGCGCAGTTAACCACGGCAATGAACAGAGCCAAGCAAATAACTAGACTAACGTGCATGTTTTCCGAGTCTCTCGAAAGTACTACAATAAACACTGATCAAATACAATATGTCGAATAGTTGTGGTCACACGCTTGGTTTATATGCTGATCGTTCGTCTCTCTCTCTTTCCCGATCTTATTGGGATTAATTCTGTACGTGAGAAAGCGCCGTTTTCAGAAGAACTTTCTTGGGCGTAAGAACAAGTATTTGGTGAAGTCATACCTTTGACTTTTCGATAGTCTATTCGAGAAAGAATGTTTATCCCACACAATTTAAAGTGTTCAACAAATAATATGTGACATTTAACATTTAAAGACCTTCGTAGTTTTAAACTTTTTCACATTTGCGTCTCAGTTCACTTAGAAGAACATAACGTACGTGATCGAAACGTGTTTTTCAGTAAAAAGGTTAACAATCAAATGTTTGCATTCTTATGACTGCTCTACAATACTAAGAATGAAAAAAACAAGAACGGAGGCGAACATCTAAGTCAAAAGCAAAGAACAAGTACGACAAGTCTCATCTATTAGAAAGTTCGAAGACGTCGGTCATACGATTTTGTTTCGATCACATTCACCTCGAGTAAAAAAGAACCGTTTTGATGTGCATAAGCTCCTATCTGAAGAACTAATTCCTTTCAACTATCAAAATAAACTTTCAGTGCCATACGTCATCACTTGCGTGCCGTCTAACGTAAATCAACAAAACATTTTCCAAAAGACATCAGAATAACTAATCACCATTCATTTTTGCATTTCTCGTGAATTAATCATAGACTACGAATGGTTATGAATCGCTGATTCTCATCTTTCGATAAATCCTAATTGTTCTATCATATAGTTAATTTAGTCGAACTAAAGACTTTACACGTGATAAAGTAGCCCAATATGTATTAGCAGCAGTTTTGTATGTTTTGTTTTATTGGCAACGAGTGTATATAGGAGAATATATTCGAAGACGTTGCAACTGTTTCAATCGTCGTTAAAATTTAATTGACATTAAGATATAGTGCACTTACGACATAGAGCACAATCAGATGGAATGTCAAATAAATATTTCTGTGCTTTTATCAATCGATAGAAAATCATTACCGAAATTGATTATTTATTTTTGCTGACGTCTTACAAATCTGAGTATTTATTGCCGACTGCTCAGTAGGATACGTTTATATTCGCCTCCGTACTCAATATTGAACACTTTTCTAGCCATCATCATGCGTTACCTTCAACAAATAGTCATCGTTGCCGTACTTATGCAAGTAAGTCAAATATCAACTTGTAATCTTTGTCGATAGCTCGGATTTTACTCTCATTGCATTTAGTTACTGGTATCAACTTGGGCGCGAACTCGATTCGTACGTGAACCATCATTAGTAGCATCTTCCCTGTGGAACGAAATTGAAGAAATCGATAACAACGAAAGCGGCAGTGATCATGGTGTAGTTGATAGATCCACTTTTTGGCCCTCGAAAGCGAAAAAAGCATATCATTACGGTATGGAAGAAAGACGGAAGAAATATCTCGGCGAGCCCGTCAATTTCCAAGGTGGACACAGTCTTCAAGGTCTTTGGGCAATGCCTGGACGACGTTAAACTAGAAGACGCTTCATAATAAACAGATTCTGTGCCCCTACATATACACTTATATAATATTCAATAAAAATCCTAAAATATGATCTCATACTTTCTTAACTGTACGTAGAACTGGCTTGATCGTTCTCACGACGAGACACTAACGTGGATAGTAACGCTTGCTATTCATAGGTATTTCATGCTGTACCAATCACAATCTTCCAGATGATTTTTCAACAGAACTTTGCCATATTTCGTGATACAAGATAAAACTATCAGTGTAGGTTGTCGTTAAGAATAATCTCATTTGATCTTTCTCTTCTGCTGGTAAGATGAAGCGGACAACAATGTCTTCGCCAGTCATAGATCGTTTTGATCTATTCACGATCGTGTTTAATATCATTATTTCGATTATTGGTGGTATCGTGGTTAACCGATTAATACCAATGTTGAAGGAGAAATTCATCAAAGCACAATTATGGGGTTATGATTTGAATAAACGAAATTCCAAAGAGATCAAAGTGTAAGACTGTTCTTCAAACAAATGGAAATTTTATTGTTTATCTTTAAGGGCTGAATCTCAAGGTGTGATTGTAGCCGGTATCTTTCTCGTATTGATGTTTATCATGATTGCTATCGTTTTCTCTGAACATCTACATCCTGAAAGTGATTTTCCAAACCATAAAGTAACGTATCAATAATTATCCCAGATGAAAAGCTCATTGGTTTCTTTGTTTAGTTCGTGGAATATTTAGCTGCCCTACTCTCCATTTGCTGCATGGTTTTACTCGGTTTTGCTGACGACGTCATTGACATACGTTGGAATGTGAAATTATGGTTACCAATGATTGCTTCTCTGCCGCTTCTACTCGTTTATTTTGCTAACTATCACTCAACAACGATTATTTTGCCCAAACCAGTAAGACCATATTTCGGTCAACAATGGAATCTTGGTAAATGAGAAACATCTCTATGAAACGATCAATGTACCTATCTTTACTAATATAGGTATTCTATATTATGTTTACATGAGCATGGTTGCAATATTTTGCACGCATGCAATCAACATCCTAGCCGGTGTGAATGGACTCGAAGTTGGCCAATCTGTTATCATAGCGGGTTCAGTATTGATTTTTAACCTGATTGAATTACAAGGTACAACTATTGATTAGATGTAAAGCAGAAAGAGAGACAAACTATTTCGTATTAGGTATATGTGCCGAAGAGCATCTCTTTTCGTTGTACTTCATGATTCCGTTAATTGCTTGTTCAATACCACTTCTCATTCGAAATTGGTTCGTCCACTTCCGTTGTCCTCTTCTTCTATAGTATTCTTATTGTATGTTGTTAGGTGTCCAGCCGAAGTGTTTGTGGGTGATACATACTGTTATTTCGCTGGAATGACATTCGCTGTCATCGGAATTCTTGGTCATTTTAGCAAGACTATGTTACTCTTTTTCATCCCACAAATTATCAACTTTCTTCTGTCCGTACCGCAACTATTCAAATTCATTCCATGTCCTCGGCACCGATTACCAAAGTATGATGTCAAGTCTTGATTTGCATGTTCTATTTCATACGTGTTTACGGTTCTAGATTAGATCCTGCGTTAAACAAACTGAATCCATCTGATGTCGAGTTCAAAAAGAAAGACTTGAAACCACTTGGCTGGTTGATGCTACGATTCTTTTCTTTAACCAAGTTCATTCGGTATCGTGAATATCAGAATAATGATAATGAAACCATGATCAACACCACGAACTTTACCATTATTAACTCGGTTCTTTGTTGGTTCGGACCATTGCATGAAGAGAAACTCAGTCGAATCTTAATGCTAATACAGGTGAGAACAAAAGCTCTTTCAAGATCATTTGTAACAATCATTTGTCTACTTTCAGCTTGTTTTCGGCAGTTTGCTAACATTCTTTGTTCGTTACTATTTGGTGAGATTTTTTTATGATTCCTAAAGTACCATGATTTCTTATGGCTTCAACTGACAAATATAAACATTCGATTATCTATTATCTTCGAATGATTTTATTTTGTTTCAAGAATGAAGAGAAACTCGGTCTTTTGATCTTCGACAATAGTGTATACAATTAGGAATGTACGGTTTCGTGCACCAAGGACAATAGGCTAAACCAATGGTTGGAAGTTCTTTTTCTAATGTTAACAGAGTGAATGCTTGGGAGGAAAGTTTTTCCTTCGGTAAATCTTGATTGATGTGAGGCTTGGAATTAGCGGGAATGGTTTTCGATAGTGTTGAGACAGGTCGATTCGAACCGAACTTAATTCGTCGATCGAGTTTACATCGAGCGAGAAGAACGGCGTCAGACGGCGGTTGTTGGATTTGGTTGATTTTTCGTGCGCAAAATGCGATGTGACGATCGTACGCTTTTTCACAAAAAGTTCGTTTACATGTGGGACAACCTATGAGAATCTTCAAGTAATTCAATTCGTTCTAGAACAAAATTTCTATTTACGTACAGAAATTATCGATTACAGGTGGAACGAGTGTGTTGGAATGGCGGTCACGTTTTGTACTACGTGTTTGAGATGGTCGGACGGTGATATCGTTTGTTTTAGTAGTATTGCTAGACGATATTTTGCATACAGGTATAATTTGATCACCAGCTTTCACTGAACGATATCGTGTCATATCAAATATTTGAATATTTCGTTGTTTTGCCAAGTTCTTCGGACAAACATTTGGATGTTTCTTGTAAACTTCGGGACGCATGCGTCTCAAACATGCTGAGCATTGTATTAATTCTTGTACAAAATTCTCACTTCCATCGCCATCGTCATCCATCGAGTCGACAATCTTCTGCGTTCTGTTGAATGCGTTCATACTGTATTTTGTTGCACAATATATATGTACATACTGTTCGTTAACATGGAGATATTTATCGAGGCAAGTTGATAAATGCAGATAGTTTCTGTGTACCTTTCGTTCTTTCAATCTGTCATGTCTGCCTCAAGTATTCAACCGTATATATATATATATATTCGTACACTTGAGTCATGTAAACAATCTTGAACAAAGAATACCTAGAAGATTTGTTCACCTTTAATCGATTCAAATTCGTTGGCGCATAGAAATCTGAAAGTAATATGATGAGATGTCAAAATGAATTCATCCGTTTGTCTACACAAATCTAGAAAGCACTTGAACAACTCATCGTGTTATCTGAAGAAGTTGAAGAATACGGCAATCAAGCTTTCAACAAAGTTCAGGCATGAGCGCAATCACGCCGATCGTCGGATATCTAAATTCATTTTTCGTCCACATTAGTCATTTTTCTATAGTGACTAGTCTGAGCACATTGAATAGGCAAAACTAATGCTATTTAGCAGCACGTACATCTGCTCGACACTACTCAGTCGTCAAAGCATATTCAGTGCGATCACAGTAAGTGCGTGCGTAAGACATCTGTTTATATTCGCAGGAGAACTTAAATATGAACGTGCGCTCTTTGATGTTGTACTGCACTTCAATCGTCATGAAACTTGAGTAGTCTCTGTGTGTAATTGTTTCCTTGTTCAATAGAGGTCGCTGAAGAAAGATCATACGATAGTTTCCATTGGTGTATTGCATTCTATTGCTTTGTGTCTGTATTTTGACCCGGCCGGTCAATCAATCAGTCGACCGTCGTGAAACGAGGATAACTTCACATTGTTGTATTGTATGTTGTAGATTCATTACAAATGCCATTTCTTCCAAGTCCAATACCTGCACCTATCTTCGATTCTGATGAGTCCGACACAGGCAGCCAACAGTCAAATGACAGTGGCAGTTATTTATCGTCGCAATTCACTCAACACACTCGACTATCATTCTCCCCAAAATTCATTCTCAATAATCAACGTTTATCCTTGCATCTCGATGATTCATTAAATAGTCAAGACGAGTCCATTAATCTCGAATCAACGTTGTCGGACTTTCCTCTTTCGACAAATAAGAAACGTAAACGAAGCTATGACAAGTCCAACGATATTCCACTTCAAACACCAAATCAATCGCCATATACTCGCCGCAAAAATCTCGACTATGTTCAAGAAACGACATTTCAATCACCAAAAATTCAACGTCGCAGCCGTCACAACGATGAATCTCTTCATCAACCAACAGCAACCATTCCTGATCTTATTAATATGAATCCATTTGCTAAACATCGCTATAACACTCGTCTAGTTGCTAAACGTCAATCGCTCCTTTCATTGTCAATTCAACGCTTCGAACAAGAATTTCACCATGAATCATTTCTTGGTTACGGAGAATTTTCACACGTTTATCTATGCACAAATCGACTCGACGGCTTAAACTACGCGATTAAATCATCGAAACAGCCAATTCTTGGTACCAGTTACGAACAATTGGCTTGGCGAGAAATTTGTGCTTACGCCATGTTGACAACTCATGAAAACTTAGTTCGGTATTATTCGGCATGGATTGAATTAGACGGGAGATTCTTTGTTCAATTAGAATACTGCAATGGTGGTTCTCTGGAAGATGTTATCGAAAAACATCAACAAACCAAAAGCAATTTTAACGAATCACAACTGAAGATCATACTCCATCAAATTAGCGATGTCCTGACATTTATTCATAGCAAAGATTTAGCACATCTGGATATCAAACCGGCAAATATTATGATATGTCAGTATTCGGAGGATGACATACGCTATAAACTGACCGATTTGGGACATGTGAGTCAAATCAGTTCGCATTTAACAGATGAAGATGGTGATAGTCGATATTTGGCACTGGAAATTCTTCAAAAATCTCGTACGAAAAAGATCCAACTGGATAAATGTGACATATTCTCACTAGGTTTAACCTTATATGTCTGTGCGACGAATGTAAATTTACCACGACAAGGAAATGAGTGGCAACAAGTTCGTTTGAATATTTCGCAATATTTACACCGAATCAATTACTGTTCGAAACAATTTAATGATCTCTTATTCGATCGCATGTGTAACATTGATCCGAATCAACGTCCATCAGCATACGAAGTAAGAAAATAATTAAATTTCTAATTATTTCTGACAACCACTCTATCACTGTTGCTTCTTTAGTTGTTACTCGATTCGACAGTTCATCCACCGGAGCCTACAGGTCGTGAAACTCTTCGGTATGTTTGAAGTCATACGAGAAAAAAATGAAGAGTACTGTCATTGTTCGTTTTAGGCATAGTTTAAAACAAGAACGCGAGAAAAATATCGTATTAAATAGAAAGTTACTTGACCATTACCTTTTAACAAATGCAATCGATTTACAAATTTTACCGACAGATTTTAATAATAGTAATTTTCCATCTCAACAAGCTTTTCTTTCTCCAAATCAATCGCTTCTTGTTCCGCAACAACAAAATATGTCGACTCCGAATGACCATTCGCGCGTCTTAATCATCCATTCACCCAAAACCCCGATTTGCTGTGCGAATCTCAATCAAACCACCACATCGCCCAGTTCACTTGCTTTGAAACAACAACTTAAACTAGCCGGTTCGAATATACATCGTCATTATTCCAGTATTATTTAAAGAAAAATCCAGTTTAGCCATAAAACTTCCAAACAAAAAAAAAAGTACGAATGCTCGTTGAAATAGTAAAAGAGTTCTACCTAGAGTCATTTTTCCTGTAAATATTTGATTTATTCAAAAATCATTGAGTAAATATCTTTGATACTATTGTATTTTTCTATTTTCTTGTTTTTCATTGTGTAGGTTAAAACATATCTATTCGATATTTTTCTACTCTCGCCATTCCTAGTCGCGATTGTTAGTAGATATATGTTCATGTATGAGGATGTTCAGTTTTGTATTTTTCTCGCATTTCCTTCTTTCCAAAAGTTAAGATATGATAGTAATAATGATAATATAAAGCAAAATAACTACTATGATTGTGTTTTTTTTTAATTTTGAAAAAGTGTAGACGGTAAAACTGTAAATGGAAATGTCAATTATGTTGTTTTTTCTTCATATCGCGGTATAATTCATTATCTTTTACTAATTTGAGTCTAGTGAAATCGAATGATACTTCTTATTTCTAGATCAACGAACAAATACGAAAATGACAATTTGTAATCTCTGTCCGATTAGTTTGATAGCCATTTTCGTGTTCATCTATATTCTCGTGCAATATGTTCTTAATGAAAAACAGATCTATATGCTCAAGTACGGTCTGTATACGGGTTTCGTCATGCTGTTGTCCGTCATTATTATCCCTGTGTTTCTGATTCGGCCGCGCAATGCGCTTAATATTCGTATTGCTTCGTTGATTCTCAATCCTGTTTTCACTCTATTTGGCACGAAGTATCGATTGGAGAACGCAACAGTTTTGGATAAAGAAGGACCGTGTGTAATTGTTGCTAATCATCAATCTTCGATAGATTTCATAGGTATGATGAGACTTTGGCCGGAGCATATACGTTATTGTACAATTCTGGCGAAAAAAGAGTTATTCTATGCATTCCCGTTCGGTTTAACGGCATGGTTAGCAGGTTTAGAATATGTGGATCGGAAGAATCGCGAACGATCAAGTGAAACGATGCGTCATGTCACAAAAAAGGTCCAAGAGAAATCATTGCGGTTATGGGTTTTTCCCGAAGGTAATCGCTAGATGATTAAAAGTGTGAACATAGCCTACTTTTTCATATAGGAACACGGAATATGACGGAGACGTTTCTCCCATTCAAATTCGGCGCTTTTCGTTTGGCTATTGATGCTCAAGTTCCAATTGTTCCCGTCGTGTTTTCGTCATATAAATCAATCTACAATGCTGACAAAACCAGTCATAGTTATTTCTGGCGTCCCGGATGTGTTACGATTAAATGTCTCGAACCCATCGAGACAAAAGGCATGACTATCGAAAAAGATCTGGCGCGCTTAACCGAAATGACACGACAACGAATGATAAAAGCATATCAAACCATTAAAACGGTTACAAATGACAAAAAAGACGAATAAAAGTTAACAGATAAACAAATCTAGTGAGCCGAGAAACAGTTTTTACGTACCCTTTTTGATCCTCGAGAGTCGATTGAACATGCAATAGTCTTCTTCCTTTTATTTTCGTTGTGCGTCTATATGTTTTCCCGTGATTTATCCAATGTATCTGAGTGTGTTGAAGTGCATCTGTTTTATGTGCATTTCATTAATGATAATAAATAAAATAAATAATTGTAATAATGAAACAATGGAAAAACTATTTTGAAGTTATGTTTAGTGGAATGAAGAGGAATCAACAGAGCTGTACAAATACGTAATACTTTTTGAAAATTATTTGTTCTGAATAAAATTCTTTTCCTTATCGAATAGACCTATTTCATCGTCGATTATCAAAGATGTTTGCGATGACAGTTTGTTGAATGGAATATGTGAGAACAATAACTGTGATCAATTGCATTTGACAGAATCAATTCAACTCACCGATGGTCATTTTCACGATCGCTTATTGGACGAAGCTTGGTCCTGTACGATTGAATCAATTGAAAATATCGAACAATTCATCGGGATAACAAATGTTCACAAACCATTCATGTGGGATGAGACATTCTCCGTCATTCCTGAAACTCTCAAATCGAAAGTACCTGTTCAGTGATAAATTGCGAACAGAAAAGAAAAGACTTGTTCTTTTCAGATTCGACTTTATGAAACATACGGTATTCATCCTCGCTATCTGGGAACTCAACCACTCAATGATTTACTTAGTCTTCGACATCTTATTCAAACACGTCCCATGGTCGCCGTTGGTGAATGTGGCCTCGATTTCCTTAACGCTGAACAATTATCGTTACAGATGGAAATGTTCGCCTCACAAATCAAATTGGCAAATGAATTTCATTTACCATTAGTTGTTCATTGTCGTCAAATGGATCAAGAATTGTTTGATATTCTGAAACGAACTGTGTTGGATGGCTCAATGAAAATCCAATGGCATTGTTGCCATTCAAGGGGTACATCGATCTATCGAGAATTTCTCGGTTATTTTCCATCAAGTATCTTAAGTATCGGTGGTATGTGTTGTCGTACGAGTGAAAGCATCCTGCACGACTTCATACGCGAATTGAATGAAACAGGGAATCAACGAAGATTTGTTTTGGAAACGGATTCACCTTATTTGAAATCATCTTCTGTATTAATCAACAAAGAGGATAACTGTCCGATGTTAGGCATATTAGCAGTTAGTGCTTATATAACAAAGTATGTCCTTAAAAATGATCAATGGACAAGTCTCTTGAAAAGAAATACAGATGTTCTTCAACAATTTTTTAATTTAAAATGAAAGTTGTACTTATTGTTATGAACTCAATGAAACCTATTTTCTAGATGTCATCTCACGGCTTGTCTCCGCTAAGACGATTTCGCATAGGCACCGTGAATGTTCATTCATTTCGGAGTCCGTTTTCTCGAAAAAGTAATGCGAAAGTATTGGCAACAATCCTCGCTCCCTACAATCTCGATGTCCTCGCCGTCGAAGAAATGCGCCATGATGATAATTGGACTATCCTTCATGAACAATTGTCATTAAACCATACAGCTGTTGGATTAAGCGGTGGTGTATCGTTCGGGAATGCAATTGCATCGCGTCATCCAATTGCCGAAGAGCACAATCAAATAACACAAGAACAATACACAGGTGGTACTCGAGCTATGCTTCGTTGTCGTTTTGATGGCGATCATCCGTTTGTTCAAAAGCGGACGTTCGCTGTGACACACTTGGATCACTTTGATGAAGATGATCGTTTGTTGCAGTTGAAAGAATTCTCAATGGATAAAGGCGATATTGATATTCTGGTTGGCGATCTGAATGCGCTTGCAAAAAATGATTATACCGATGAATATTTGAGCGAAGTCGTGCGAGCAAAACGAGAATTGAGTGGATGGGAGCAGCCGAGATTCGAATTGATTCAATCATTAGTTCAAATCTACGGCTTTCAGGATACGTTCCGACAAATCAATCCACACTTTCAAAATACGAAAGTAGTCACATGTCCATACGGCACACGAATCGATTATATCCTTCACCGGCCACTATCAAATGATCTGTGGAAACTAACCGAATGTTTCATAGTCGACACACGACGATCTACCGATCACAACGCGGTTATCGCGACTTTTGAATGCATGTCACCGATAAATCTTTCTAATTGACGTTAAGAATAAACAAATCGTGTATCATGTATATATATATGTAGTAAAGCTTTTCTCTTCTCATCAACATCGAATTTAGGATAGTTTACTCAAAATGTCAGGAATGCAAAACGGACGTCGACTGACAATCGTCATCTTGTGCTTGTTGACGTGTATGTGTACCTTGAAATATTTTTGAATAGTGATGTTGACGACTAGAAGAGAGAAATTTTGTTTGGAAGACAAATTGGTCAGCGTAGTTTAACATACATTTTTTGGAAAAAAAAGATTGTTAAAGTAAATACAATAGCAACGATGATAATTCCCAACAGAACAGAGAAAAGTCGACTAGTTCGATTAAGAATTGAATTTTGATGAGAACGAGTCGTTGAATAAATTATTCTCTTTAATAATTGATTATCATGCAAACGTTCAATATCGATTTTGGCTTGATAGAGTGCGCCTGGAAAGTCTAATAGTCGAATGAATAATTCAAAATAGAAAATGGAAAAACCTGTTAGAAGTTCTGTATAATTATAGCTGGAATTTTCATTTGTTTGGTTCAATACAGGCTTATCTACGGTGATTAGCAAACGAATTGAAGACAGCTGATGTTGATTGGCATCGAGTAAATGAATATTATCAATTCCATATCTAGTTCGTACTTAAGGACATCATAATAGATATACATAGATGAACGACTTACTCGGCATCACAATGAGTATCATGTTTACAAAATTTATTCAAATGCTGAACTATGGATGATCGAGTTTTATTCCATAAAGAATCATCGTTCCACTAGAGCGGAGTCAGAGATTGATATAAAAGAAAATTTTTAGACAATCTTACGGTCTCTAAAGTCAACCCATCGAATACGATTGATACGGCCGATGTCGTTTCCAAAGCATCTGTCATATTTACTTCAATATAGATTGAATTTAGTAACTATTCGTTTTTCTTACCGGTGGACACAATTTGAGTTATAATTATCAAGATAAGCAATAACATCTTCCAATTATCGTTTGAACTTTGGCGTATGTATTTATCTAATATGAATGTCTTTGTGTATGACGTGATCGTATTTGCTCTGTTCTTCTTAAATGTCGATGACCATCAGTAAAAAGATGATTTATCTAGTCTACTATTAAAGAGTAATGTAGTCTCATAGAAGGAAACGAGAAAAGAAGAAGTAGAGAAAGCATTTCTTTCTTTTTCCTTCGTTGTATCGAGCATGCATGGAGATCTAATTGCGATTCTATTCTCTAGAGTTCGTCTACTACTCATTCAGATGAACTATTGATCTATTACATTATAGATCACTTATATTCCATTGTTTTCCATATTTTTTACAAGAAAACTTTGATCGTGTTAAATGAAAATGAAGAATATTGTCGAAGTGCAACTGATTCAAGCGAATAATAGAGATACAATCGACTTTTGTTCTTGCGACACATATTGATTCCAGATGGTGGTATGATGCAGATCGAAGATTATATTGAGCCATTTCAGAACAAATATAATTATGTAAGAACTTCATCAATAGATACTTCAAGTGCAAATAATGGATGCATCTCGTTTTCTTTGCTGATGTTTCAACATCGATCTACGAGTATTCTGCTGAACTTTGGCTGTATAAATATCGTGTGTTTGAAGACAATATTGATTTATGTAAATACTGATTATTTAGTAAAAGACAATTTGACAAAGTGCAGTCGATGGTAAAACAAAATGAATGCATTCTATTCCGTTTAATTCGGAAGGTCACGATGCCTAGAAGAGTCTATGAAGAGATCGACGCTGTTTTATATCGTTTATAGATAAGAGAAGAAGTGCGTAACGATTACGTTGCTATGATATAGAATCTATATCGTTTGATTTGCATGTCAAAGGAACAAACCAATGGTGAACTTTGTTCATCCTCACGTTTTCATACGAAAAGTATTCGGATGATATACCATTTTTGATGAAAACAAGCCTTGTTTGGCACCAATTAAATGTAGTATTTGGATTATTCCTCGTCTCAAGTTTCTTTCAATGAAACGACGCTGACAAGACATATTTTTATCTTCCTTCTCTTTCACATACGAATGCACGCACTGAAATCATGATCAGGTGGTATGCTTGTGAAAGCAATACATTAACTATATAAGCGTTCTAAATATACAAATAGAAGTCAGACCCGTGTCGATAAGTATTCGTGTGCGCGTTCGTTGCTTCACGTATATTCGACTTGTTTTTTTTCCTAGATACGCCATGCCGTCGGTGTCATCATCGTGTTGTAAGAAAGGACCAGGCTACGCGACTCCACTTGATGCTATGCAAAATGGTCCCCGCGAAAAAGTCTTATACGTTGCAATGGTTTCATGCCAAGAAAATCAACCTGATTATTTAGCAACGATTGATGCTGATCCGGATTCTCCAGACTATCAAAAAGTTATCAGTCGATTGTATTCTCCAAATATAAACGATGAATTTCATCACTTCGGATGGAATGCTTGTTCGTCGTGTCATGATGATTGTAGCAAAGAACGACGATTTATTGTCTTGGGTGGCTTTAAATCATCGAATATCTACATCCCAGACAGACAAGACCCTTAAAAAAACGTGTAAAAACGCGTTGAAAATTCATTAACGCGTAAAAAAAACGGGAAAAGCGCACATTTTCAGGCACAAAAATGCGTTAAAAACTAAGTTTATACGCGTTTGTCTGCGTGAAAATATGCGTTTTTCCTGGTTTTTACGCGGTAATGGTTTAACCCGTAAAANTTAGTTGTTACTCGATTCGACAGTTCATCCACCGGAGCCTACAGGTCGTGAAACTCTTCGGTATGTTTGAAGTCATACGAGAAAAAAATGAAGAGTACTGTCATTGTTCGTTTTAGGCATAGTTTAAAACAAGAACGCGAGAAAAATATCGTTTTAAATAAAAAATTACTTGACCATTACCTTTTAACAAATGCAATCGATTTACAAATTTTACCGATAGATTTTAATAATAGTAATTTTCCATCTCAACAAGCTTTTCTTTCTCCAAATCAATCGCTTCTTGTTCCGCAACAACAAAATATGTCGACCCCGAATGACCCTTCGCGCGTCTTAATCATCCATTCACCTAAAACCCCGATTTGCTGTGCGAATCTTAATCAAACCATCACATCGCCCAGTTCACTTGCTTTGAAGCAACAACTTAAACTAGCCGGTTCGAATATACATCGTCATTATTCCAGTATTATTTAAAGAAGAATCCAGTTTAGCCATAAAACTTCCAAACAAAAAAGTTCGAATGCTCGTTGAAATAGTAAAAGAGTTTCTACCACGAGTCATTTTTCCTGTAAATATTTGATTGATTCAAAAATCATTGAGTAAATATCTTTGATACTATTGTATTTTTCTATTTTCTTGTTTTTCATTGTGTAGATTAAGGCATATATCTGTTCGATATTTTTCTACTCTCGCCATCCCTAGTCGCGATTGTCAGTAGATATATGTACATGTACGAGGATGTTCAGTTTTGTATTTTTCTCGCATTTGCTTCTTTCCAAAAGTTATGATATGATAGTAATAATGATAATATAAAGCAAAAGAACTAATACGTTTGTTTTTCTTTTAATTTTGAAGAAGTGTAGACGGTAAAACTGTCAATGAAAATGTCAATTATGTTGTTTTTTTCTTTCGAATATCGTGATATATTTCATTGTCTTTTACTAATTTGAATCTAATGAAATCGAATGGTACTTCTTACTTTTAGATCAACGAACGAATACAAGAATGACAATTTGTAGTCTTTGTCCAATTAGTTTGATAGCTATCTTCGTATTCATCTATATTCTCGTACAATATGTTCTTAATGAAAAACAGATCTATATGCTCAAGTACGGTCTGTATACGGGTTTCGTCATGCTGTTGTCCGTCATTATTATCCCTGTGTTTTTGATTCGGCCGCGCAATGCGCTTAATATTCGTATTGCTTCATTGATTCTCAATCCTGTTTTCACTCTATTTGGCACGAAGTATCGATTGGAGGACGCAACAGTTTTGGATAAAGAAGGACCGTGTGTAATTGTTGCTAATCATCAATCGTCGATAGATTTCATAGGCATGATGAGACTTTGGCCGGAGCATATACGTTATTGTACAATTCTGGCGAAAAAAGAGTTATTTTATGCATTTCCGTTCGGTTTAACGGCATGGTTAGCAGGTTTAGAATATGTGGATCGGAAGAATCGCGAACGATCAAGTGAAACGATGCGGCAGGTCACGAAAAAAGTCCAAGAGAAATCATTGCGGTTATGGGTTTTTCCCGAAGGTAATCACTAGACGATGTAAAGTGCGAACATACTCTACTTTTTTTATATAGGAACACGAAATATGACGGAGACGTTTCTCCCATTCAAATTTGGCGCTTTTCGTTTGGCTATTGATGCTCAAGTGCCAATTGTTCCCGTCGTTTTTTCGTCATACAAATCAATCTACAATGCTGACAAAGCCAGTCATAGCTATTTCTGGCGTCCCGGATGCGTTACGATTAAATGTCTCGAACCCATCGAAACAAAAGGCATGACTATCGAAAAAGATCTGGCGCGCTTAACCGAAATGACTCGGCAACGAATGATGAATGCATATCAAACTATTAAAACGATTACAAATGACAAAAAAGACGAATAAGAATTATCAGATAAACAAATCTAGTGAGCCGAGAAACAGTTTTTACGTACCTTTTTTGATTCTCGAGAGTCGATTGAATATGCAATAGTCTTCCTCTTTTTATTTTCGTTGTGCGTCTGTGTTTTCCCGTGATTTATTCGATGTATCTGAATATGTTGAAGTGCATCTGTTTTATGTGCATTTCATTAATGATAATGAATAAAATAAATAATTTTAATAATGGAACAATTGAAAAACTGTTTTGAAGTTATGTTTAGTGGAATGAAGATGAATCAACAGAGCTGTACAAACACGTAATAATTTTTGAAAATTATTTGCTCCGGATAAAATTCTTTTTCTTATCGAATAGACCGATTTCATCATCGATTATCAGAGATGTTTGCGATGATAGTTTGTTGAATGGAATATGTGAGAACAATAATTGTGATCAATTACATTTGACAGAATCAATTCAACTCACCGATGGTCATTTTCACGATCGTTTATTGAATGAAGCTTGGTCTTGCACGATTGAATCAATTGAAAATATCGAACAATTCATCGGAATAACAAATGTTCACAAACCATTCATGTGGGATGAGACATTCTCTATCATTCCTGAAACTCTCAAATCGAAAGTACTTGTTCACTGATAAATCGCAAGTAGACAAAAAAAAGCCTTGTTCTTTTCAGATTCGACTTTATGAAACATACGGTATTCATCCTCGCTATCTGGGAACTCATCCATTCAATGATTTACTTTGTCTTCGGCATCTTATTCAAACACGTCCGATGGTCGCCGTTGGTGAATGTGGCCTCGATTTCCTCAACGCTGAACAATTATCGTTACAGATGGAAATATTCGCCTCACAAATCAAATTGGCAAATGAATTTCATTTACCATTAGTCGTTCATTGTCGTCAAATGGATCAACAATTGTTTGATATTCTGAAACGAACTGTGTTGGATGGCTCTATGAAAATCCAATGGCATTGTTGCCATTCAAGAGGTACATCGATCTATCGAGAATTTCTCGATTATTTTCCATCGAGTATCTTGAGTATCGGTGGTATGTGCTGTCGTACGAGTGAAAGCATCCTGCACGACTTCATACGCGAATTGCATGAAACAGGAAATCAACGAAGAGTTGTATTGGAAACGGATTCACCTTATTTGAAATCATCTTCTGTACTCATCAACAAAGAGAATAACTGTCCGATGTTAGGCATATTAGCAGTTAGTGCTTATATAACAAAGCATGTCCTCAGAAATGATCAATGGGCAAATCTTTTGAAAAGAAATACAAATGTTCTTCAACAATTTTTTAATTTAAAATGAAAGTTGTACTTATTGTTATGAACTCAATGAAACCTATTTTCTAGATGTCATCTCACGGCTTGCCTTCGCCGAGACGATTTCGTATAGGCACCGTGAACGTTCATTCGTTTCGGAGTCCGTTTTCTCGGAAAAGTAATGCGAAAGTATTGGCAACAATCCTTGCTCCCTACAATCTCGATGTCCTCGCCGTCGAAGAAATGCGCCATGATGATAATTGGACTATCCTTCATGAACAACTGTCATTAAACCACACAGCTGTTGGATTAAGCGGCGGTGTATCTTTCGGGAATGCGATTGCATCGCGTTATCCGATTGCCGAAGAGCACAATCAAATAACACAACAACAATACACAGGTGGTACTCGGGCTATGCTTCGTTGTCGTTTTGGTGGCGATCATCCGTTTGTTCAAAAGCGAACGTTCGCTGTGACACACTTAGATCACTTTGATGAAGATGATCGTTTGTTGCAGTTGAAAGAATTCTCGATGGATAAAGGCGATATTGATATTCTGGTTGGCGATCTGAATGCACTTGCAAAAGATGATTATACCGATGACTATTTGAACGAAGTCGTGGGAACAAAACGAGAATTGAGTGGATGGGAGCAGCCGAGATTCGAATTGATTCAATCATTAGTTCAAACCTACGGCTTTCAGGATACGTTCCGACAAATCAATCCGCATTTTCAAAATACAAAAGTAGTCACATGTCCATACGGCACACGAATCGATTATATCCTTCACCGGCCACTCTCAAATGATCTATGGAAACTAACCGAATGCTTTATAGTCGACACACGGCGATCTACCGATCACAACGCGATTGTCGCAACTTTTGAATGCACATCATCGATAGATCTTTCTAATTGACGTTAAGAATAAACAAATCATGTATCATGTATATATATATATATAGGAAAGCTTTTCTCTTCTCATCAACATCGAATTTAGGATAGTTTACTTAAAATGTCACGAATGTAAAACGGACGTCGACTGACAATCGTCGTCTTGCGCTTGTTGACGTGTATGTGTACCTTGAAATATTTTTGAATAGTGATGTTGACGACTAGAAGAGAGAAAATTCGTTTGGAAGACAACTTGGTTAGCATAGTTTAACATACATTTTTTGAAAAGAAAAGATTGTTAAAGCGAATACAATAGCAACGATGATAATTCCCAACAGGACAGACAAAAGTCGACTAGTTCGATTAAGAATTGAATTTTGATGAGAACGAGTCGTTGAATAAATTATTCTCTTTAATAATTGATTATCATGCAAACGTTCAATATCGATTTTGGCTTGATAGAGTGCGCCTGGAAAGTTTAATAGTTGAATGAATAATTCAAAATAGAAAATAAAAAAAAAACCTGTTAGAAGTTCTGTATAATTATAGCTGGAATTTTCATTTGTTTGATTTAATACAGGCTTATCTACGGTGATTAGCAAACGAATTGAAGACAGTGCATGCTGATTGGCATCGAGTAAATGGATATTATCAATTCCATATCTAGTTCGTACTTTAGGACATCATAATAGATGTACATAGATGAACAACTTACTCGGCATCACAATGAATATCATGTTTACAAAATTTATTCAAATGTTGAACTATTGATAATCGAGTTTTATTCCATAAAGAATCGTCGTTCCACTAGAGCGGAGTCAGAGATTGATACAAAAGGGAATTTTTCGACAATCTTACGGTCTCTAAAGTCAACCCATCGAATACAATTGATACGGCCGATGTCGTTTCCAAAGCATCTGTTTCATGTACTCCAATATAGATTGAATTTAGTAAACTATTCGTTTTTCTTACCGATGGACACAATTTGACTCATAATTATCAAGACAAGCAATAACATCTTCCAATTATCGTTTGAACTTTGGCGTATGTATTTATCTAATATGAATATCTTTGTGAATGACGTGATCGTATTTGCTCTGTTCTTCTTAAATGTCGATGACCATCAGTAAAAAGGATGATTTATCTATTCTACTATTAAAGAGTAATATAGTCTCATAGAAGGAAACGAGAAAAGAAGAAGTAGAGAAAGAATTTCTTTCTTTTCTCTTCGTTGTATCGAGCATGCATAGAGATCTAATTGCGATTCTATTCTCTAGAGTTCGTCTACTACTCATTCAGATGAACTATTGATATATTACATTATAGATCACTTATATTCCGTTGTTTCCCATATTTTTTACAAGAAAACTTTGATCGTGTTAAATGAAAATGAAGAATATTGTCGAAGTGCAACTGATTCAAGCGAATAATAGAGATACAATCGACTTTTGTTCTTGTTACACATATTGATTCCAGATGATGGAATGATGCAGATCGACGATTATATTGAGCCATTTTAGAACAAATATAATTATGTAAGAACTTCATCAATAGATACTTCAAGTGCGAATAATGGATGCATCTCGTTTTCTTTTCTGATGTTTCACCATCGATCCACGAGTATTCTGCTGAACTTTGGCTCTATAAATATCGTGTGTTCAAAGGCAATATTGATTTATGTAAATACTGATTATTTAGTAAAAGACAATTTGATAAAGTGCAGTCGATGGTAATGACAAAATGAATGCATTCTGTTTCGTTTAATTCGGAAGGTCACGATGCCTAAAAGAGTCTATGAAGAGATCGACGTTTTTTTGTGTCGTTTATAGATAAGAGAATAAGTGTGTAACGATTACGTTGCTATGCTATAGAATCTATATCGTTTGATTTGCATGTGAAAGGAACAAGTCAATGGTGAACTTTATTCATCCTCACGTTTTCGTACGAAAATTACCCGGATGACATACCATTTTTGATGAAAATAAGTCTTGCTTGGCATCAATTAAATGTATTATTTGCATTGAAGCACACAACAGTATTTGGATTATTCGTCGTCTCAAGTTTCTTCCAATGAAACGATGCTGACAAGACGTATTTTTATCTTCTTTCTTTTTCACATACGAATGCACGCACTGAAATCATGATTAGGTGGTAGGCTTGTGAAAACAATACATTAACTATATAAGCGTTCGACACACACAAATAGAAGTCGGACTCGTGTCGATAAATATTCGTGTGCGCGTTCTTTGTTTCACGTGCATTCGACTTGTTTTTTTTCCTAGATACGTCATGCCGTCGGCGTCATCATCGTGTTGTAAAAAGGGACCGGGCTATGCAACTCCACTCGATGCTATGCAAAATGGTCCCCGCGAAAAAGTCCTATACGTTGCAATGGTTTCATGCCAAGAAGATCAACCTGATTATTTAGCAACGATTGATGCTGATCCGGATTCTCCAGATTATCAAAAAGTTATCAGTCGATTGTATTCTCCAAATATAAACGATGAATTTCATCACTTCGGATGGAATGCTTGTTCATCGTGTCATGATGATTGTAGCAAAGAACGACGATTTATTGTCTTGGGTGGCTTTAAATCATCGAATATCTACATCATTGATACAGCAGACGCAAGAAAGCCAAGTTTATATAAAACGATTGATTCCGCTGAATTGAAAAAATTCAATTTAAGCGCACCACATACAGTACATTGTTTAGGCAGTGGAGAAATCATGATTTCCTGTTTAGGAAATGCGAAAGGTGAATTGCCTGGTGGTTTTATTTTATTAAATGAAAATTTCGAAGTCACTGGACGATGGAATCGTGGAGAAGTCCCATCAAATGTTCAATTTTATTATGACTTTTGGTACAAACCACGACACAATATCATGGTTAGTAGCGAATGGGCGGCTCCGAATGTATTCGACAAAGGTAATGCGATATCTGCTATAGTTTCGTGAAATAAAACGAACCGATTTTTTAAGGTTTCAATCCGAACGATGTTGCTTTAAATAAATACGGTCATTCATTACACTTTTGGGATTGGTCGAAGCGTGAATATTTGAAAACAGTTGATCTTGGCAAGGATGGCTTGATTCCTCTTGAATTACGTTTTTGTCATAATCCACCTACTCCGTATGGTTATGTGGTATGTGCGTTGGGTAGTTCCGTTTTTCGATTTTATCAGGATCCATCCAATGAATGGCAAGTTGAAAAAGTTATTCAAGTGGAAAGTCTAACTGGTGATGATGGACAGCCCGTTCCGGCTATCATTTCCGATATGCTCATTTCCTTGAACGATAAATACAGTAGGTGAACTCGTTTGACAAACGATTATTACAATCATTAATCTTTCTTTCTAGTCTACTTCTGTAATTGGTTTCATGGAGATGTTCGTCAATATGATATTACTGATCCGGCTAAGCCAAAACTAACCGGACAAGTTTGGCTTGGAGGTTTAACCAAAACTGGCAGTGATTATAATGACAACCGTTCGCTTCATGGCGGACCTCAAATGATTCAATTATCGGTCGATGGTAAACGTCTGTATGTCACTAATTCGCTGTACTCGTCATGGGACGATCAATTCTATCCAGGAATTCGGCAAGATGGTTCGTATTTAGCAAAAATCGATTGCGATAGTGAAAATGGCGGCATGAAATTGGACCAAGCATTCTATATGTCCTTTAAAAATGAACCACACGGTCCAGCGCGTGCCCATGAAGTGCGCTACCCAGGTGGTGATTGTACATCGGACATCTGGATTTGAAAAAAAACTTTTATACTTACTTTATTTCTCTCAGTATATAGTTGGATATTTTTAGTAGAAAGAAGAAGAACATTAATAAAGATTTGAAATAAAACTAGTCTACTATTCTTTATAAGTATGTTGTATACATCTGGAAGTAGTCGGCTTTCTCTCATCGGATGATGACCCATAGCAGTCAAGGAATTTCATATAACACACGAATCAAATCATTATTTTTATTCAATTCAAACTAGTTTCCATACAATTTTTTTGAATAATCGAACGTCATCGAAGTGAGTAACAACTGTTAAAGTTTGATTTGCTACATTTAGTAGAAATCAGTCTATTCTATTTGTGCCCCTTCAATCGATGATTCATCCCTTCAATATGATTCGCTATTAACTATTAACAATGAAAACGACCAGAGGAGGTTTACCATTCATTCGATCATATTTATCCATTCATATGCACGATTTGGTTACTACTAAGATTACATCAGAAGAGAAAAGAAAAGGACCAGATACAAATGATAGAATATCCAAACTAGGTATTTCAAACATTTGCATTCAATGATAATAATAATCACGAACGATATCATGTTTTCTTTCTAGTTGTTACATCGACATGAATACATTCGAAAGATATCTGTTAGCCGTCAGACCATGGTCTTTTACAGCGAGTATGATGCCACTTTTGCTGGGGAGTGCTCTGGCATATTCGTCTGTACAAACCTTATCCCTATCTGTTCTTCTTCTTACATGCGTGTCAGCATTGTGTGTTCATGCTGCAGCTAATCTTTTCAATACGTAAGCGCAAAGAAAAACACCGATACGATCGATTTTGTATTTGTCATTTTTATAGCTATTATGATTACATTCATGGTGTGGACTCCCCCACGACCAATAATAAAAAGGAGCACACTATCGATGATCGGACGTTAATCGAAGGTTTGCTTAAACCAAATGAAGTGGTTCGACTAGGACTAATATTATACGCGATTGGAACGATTGCTTTTCTATTCTTATCACATATTTCACCAGCAAAAGAACCGTATCTAGCTTTGATCTATTTCGGTGCCCTTCCACTCTCGTTTCTATATACAGGCGGCATTGGTGAGTTTGATTCTTCTCCGAACGATGTCGTAGAACTTCCTCGATATTAGGTTTTAAATATATTGCACTTGGCGACGTTCTCATTCTATTAACATTTGGTCCTATCACAATTGTTTATTCATTTATGGCTCAAGCTGGTTACTATAGCATCTATCCTGTTTTTTATGCTCTACCGTTAACATTGAACACCGAAGCTATTCTTCATAGCAACAACACACGTGATATGGAACATGACAGATCTGTTGGTATCTTGACACTATCGATATTACTTGGAAAACGATTCTCGTATTATCTTTATTGTTTACTCATGTATTTACCTTATGTAATTGTCAGTTGCATGATGATCAAAATCTCCTGGCTCTGCTGTTTACCGTTGTTAACAGTGGTTCATGCTCATCGATTATGCGAGGAATTTCAACATGATCGGTTGATCAAATTACCGAATCGAACAGCGATACTGAATTTTCAATTTGGTTTTCTCTACATTCTCTCAATCATCCTAACGAATATCACCCAAAATCGCCAACAGTTTGTTTTCTAAAACAGCAATTCATAGATAATTCTTTTCGATCTGTTATCAGTTCTTTTGTTTCCATAAAGTTTTTCGCTTTTCAACTAGTCAGTTCTTTGGCTTTTTTTTTCTATTCAATACTACCTATTCTACAGCTAAAATGTCTTCTAGATTATGTCTGACTAAGTGATGAACTAACTTCAATCAAATCGTTCTCTATGATCTCACATGTCTACGCCTAATACCAAAAGTAATGGAGAACAACAAACAGGTGTAAATCGTTCTACCTACGCTCATCTATTAGCAGGAGGGTAAATGGACTGCCGTTGAACAAATCGATTTCAACTTTCGATTTCTATATTTAGCCTTGCGGGCACATTCGGTGCAGTTCTGACATGTCCATTAGAAGTAATCAAAACACGATATCAATCATCACAAAATTCATTTTCCAGAGAAAAGACTCGGGTTGATCTGCATTCACCTTACAGTAATACAGTCGCTTATCAGTGTCAACAAGAAAGGATACGTCCCACTATAATTGGTTCACTTCGGTAAATTCTTTATTGAAACGAACTTTTCTTAGAATCTAGCCATTTAGACACATTATCAAATATGAAGGGATGCCAGGACTATTCAAAGGTCTTGTGCCGAACCTAGTCGGAGTAGCACCATCAAGGTAAGACCAACAGAAATCTTTTATCCGCATATGAGTATGTATTGTTGTAGGGCGATTTATTTTTTTGCTTATGCAAATACTAAATCTTTTCTGGTTGAGAAAATGGAGCGGGAGACACCGTTAGTACATATAACTTCAGCAGCAACAGCAGGTAATCATTGCAAACGATGATTGTTACAATTGATCCTTTGTATTTTCTCAAGGCATCGCCATGTCCACATGTACAAATCCGTTGTGGTTTATTAAAACGCGGCTACAAATTGACCAAGGGTAAAGACTTTTTGCGGAGTATCTTTCTATCTTGCATTCATTATTGGCTAGAAATCTTCGCACGATTGATCTCATACGTAATGTTTACCGTGAGCATGGTCTGTTGGGCTTCTATAAAGGTAGGGTTATTGAGTATACGAAGATTGGAATGAGTGCATTTATTTAGGCATATCTGCATCGTATGTTGGTGTGTCAGAAACCATAGTCCATTTTGTTCTTTACGAACAAATTAAAGCACAATTACAATTGCTTCAAACACGTCAAAACTTTTCATCAGATGAATCCAATTTGTATAATTTTATTTCTTATTTAACTGCTGCAGCATGTTCAAAATCATGTGCAACAACTTTATGTTATCCTCACGAAGTTGTTCGAACGCGTCTGCGAGAAGAAGGTACCAAGTACCGAACATTTCTACAAACATTGAAGACAGTCTACTATGAAGAAAGTATCGCCGGCTTGTATCGAGGCTTACTGACCCATCTAATTCGACAAATTCCAGTAAAATACATAGAAAACAATCGAGATGTTTTGTTCATTGTCTACTTCCTGATTTTAGAATACGGCGATCATGATGAGTACCTACGAACTTGTGATTGCATTTCTAACTTCGGATTCTGCGCCATCATCATCATCAAGTGAAGTGACAACGTTGCAGCCGAAAAAAGTCATTCTATATCGTGTTGATGCCGAAATTAATGCAACGAACGAAGTGGAATTGTAGCTAGAGAGATCTTTGTTCTTCCTTTGTGTCCATTTTCATCTGCATTAGCTTAGTTGTTGCGAAACTGCTGTTTCTTCATGTATGAACCTTGTTCTCTGGTCGTGTTTTTCTTGTTAAAATATTTTCTCTCTTCTTCTAAAAATATTTTTCCTCCAAACCGGTGCTTTGGGACAAACGAAACACGATGTTCAGTATCAATTGTTGTCACCGCAAATGAACAGTGAGCTTCTTCTTCTCTCCTCGAGTCGATTTCATCGAAAAACTACGGTGCTCGTTTTTCTATTAACGTGCTGGATCTTGAGATTTATCCTCTAGTAAACACGAATGTCTTTTCTTTTCCTTTCACTGTATTGCTTCTTTTTTAGAATATGGAATTTTTTTTCTCACTGATGAAAGTTTGTTGATGTTTTTTTTTATTTATATATTTCGAAAATACGAGAAAAAAAGTAATGAGAATTTATGGAAAAGAAAAGTTATCGTTTCTATCGAATGATAGCGACGTGCCGATAAACGGCGAGATAAAGATCATAAGATGCTTAACATGTACGTTCACATGGAAACAATCGATATGTCAGCTCTATGATGTTCTCGATCATTTGTACTAATTGCAATTCGAAAAAGAAATGTTTCGACTGGTAATGTATTCCGTTTTGCAAATGCGTCAAATAAGTTTTCCTATTAGTTTTTACTTACAAGTTTGTGTCAAATATGTTCTGCGTGGCATAATATGGATAATAGTCGATTCCATTGTTGGCCTGCACATGCTTCGCCAACAGTGACAGAAACGTTAGCACAGCATGGTTCTAATTGTAAAGGTAGGTTCTCACCAGGTCTTTTCTCGTGGCTCATAAATGGTTACATTTCAGGTGTCCATCTCGATTGGATCACACCGCCACCAAGAAAAGGTGATTTCGGTTGCCGGTGTAGGATTTGTTATATTAAGCTTTTCGTCTGTGTTACAGTTACTCAAGATGTTCCGTTCAATGTTTCGTATTCAATTGACCTGTTACCAGAGTTCTTCGACTGGGCGATAACAAAATCGCCACGTCCATTATATACGTTCGTTTGCTTTATAAACCGTGACTAAACGAATGTTGAGTTTTACTTTGATTAGATTATCCAATCGAACGATGAATAGTAGTCAATCGTGGTATCATTGGTGTCATACACATCAACCCACTTTCGATCTGTCCGATCCAAAAATTGAATCGGATGTTTGTTTATGGCATATAAATGTTCATGCTTGTGGAATCAGTAGTACAGTTCCATACTGTGGACCATGGTAAGTGTACTATAAAATGTAACTTTATCGTAGCCGTACCATCTATTCATTCGAAGGATTCCACCAAGTGGTCAAATCTATCACAGCACAGTTATGGTAGGACCTGCAGGACGCAGTAAGTTTTGCTACATGTGTAGTTGATTCGATGAAAAATGAATTTGTAGTCTATGAAAGTACTGTGATTATACCAGTATTTGGTGTGGTGGAAATCATTGCTCATTTCAAAGTGGGTATTGCAAATTGGATTCACATTGCTCTTGTGAGCATGAATGTTCAAGTTAATCGTAGAGCAAGTGAGTAATCACACATAATACAATGACAATTACGTAAAAGACTATTTTAGTCTGTGGAGATGACTTTTGTGATGTTAAGTACGAGAATTGTTCAAATTGTCCATTAGATTGTGGCAAGTGTCCACTGAAACCTATTCAGATTGGTTTGATTAGTGTTGGTTGTGCGATTGTTGTCTTTTCATTTATTGGAATCGGTTTAGTAAGTCTTATTACACAGAGTTCGTTCTATCGTGCCAACATGAATCCGTTTCTCTTAGTATTTCAAAATAAAAGAACAACGTCTTCTCTGGGATCCAAGTTGGATTATTGATGTGAAAGAAGTTCAACGTAAGTTTATCAAATGTTCATTTACAATTAAGGAAGGTTTGTCTTTTCTTTACTAGCGACTCGCTCACAACAATCTATCAGTTTAACATCTATAAACGATTGTCCGAAAACGAACTTTTCAAGACAAACAAGTGAAACGAACTTAAGTATCACAACAAACTTGTCTCATATAAGTTGTACTCAACAAATCTTCTGTCCCGTTGGTTATCTGTAAGTGTCCGTTAACAATTTTGTGGATCAACAATCGATTTTCTTTTATGTTCAGTCGACATACATATGTCACCATCCGTAAATATAAACACAAACATTTTCAATTAACACGTCGTGTACGTGAACAAGTTCGTCTTGTTCGAACATTTAATCATAATAATGTTTGTAAATTCATGGGTGCATCCTTATTTCCGAATGAAGTTATTATTTACATGGAATATATGCCGAAAGGTTCGTTACGTGATGTTCTACAAAATGAAAAAATACCGATAACATGGCCGTTCCGGTAAAGATCATCGCTAGTCAAAATCACGCATGACATATTCTATTATTTCTAGATTTTCGTTTGCCATGGATATCCTCAATGGACTGTCTTACATACATAGCCGACATCTGATTCATGGTCGATTAAATTCATCGAACTGTGTTGTTGACCAACGTTTAACAGTAAAAATTACAGGTAAAGTATGTCATCCACGGTTTCAACTTGATTGTCCTATATATATTCTGCAGATTATGGTCTCGATCATCTTCGTCAAGGTACAATTAGTGTCAACTCATATGTGCAATCTGTCGAAGCATATAAACGTGTTTACTATGCACCAGAATTGATCTCTATCAATGAATTGAAACTAACTCCACCTATTGATATTTATGCATTTGGCGTCATTCTCAACGAAATAGCCACACGATCAGAACCTTTCGGAGTAAAAATTCTCTATCTGTTTTTTCACTCTTAAACACTCAGTTCGATTTAGGACGATGATGTCGAATCAATTATGAAAGTCGGATACCGTCCTAAAATTGCTCAGATGACACATGATGTCAACAACGAGGTCGAAGAAGATTTTTGTCCATTACCATCGTCCTACACCCGACTGATAAAGCAATGCATTATGGAGAATCCATTCGATCGTCCAACATGTAAAGACATACAGAAGAGTTTGAAGAAAATGTGTCCATTACAAATGAGTCCAATTGATTTGATGTTCAAGAAGATGTCTTTGTATCAAACGAGTTTAGAACAAGCCGTTCAAGTGCGGACATTTGAACTCGAACAAGAAAAACAAAAGTCGGAGAGTCTGCTGTATAGTAAGTCTCGCGCACGTACTAACAAATCTTGCATATTTTCTTCGAAGGTATGTTACCAAAGAGTGTTGCTGAACAATTGCGAGTTGGTCAACATGTCACTGCAGAGCATTATGACACTTGTACAATATATTTCAGGTATTGTTCGATGGTCGACAA